AGACACATGTAGACCTATATCAAATGACTTGGCAAGCAACTCAGGTTAAAATCGATATAAAAAACTTGGCTCCGATCGGTATACAGTGAACATCAGATCCGGGTCAACCCGCTCATTTACATGATGCCGTATAGACATCAACACACTACGTCAGTCGCGTCTGATCTAAAAAGCCAAAATAACTCTGTTTACATTCGATAAACATGGCCCAGCACTGGCAAGAGGGATTCGGAAAGATAAAAGAGTGTAACAATAAAGTAAAATTACTACACCCTGGCTTCCTCACATGTTGCTCTCCATTGTTGTCTTTCCTGATTTCTGTTTCACTGGTGACATCATCAATGCCAGTCCAGCATGATGGTATCATCAGATACGAGGCGAGACAGAAGCCAAGCAGCCTGACAGTGGGGGTTACACACAGCTTTTTTTGCCAATAAGAAGGGCGCCAATTCCGATTGTTAGCCGTTTGAATGCCCTTTTAACCTGGGTTGCTTGTCGAGTCATTTGAAGCGGATAGAACGAATGAGCCAGCTGGCACTAAAAGATGATTGACAGCTTTTTTTTGGCCAGAGGGGTATTTGACATGGTAGTTCTCTGCAGGAGCACCACACTGGGGAGATATCCTGAATGCAGCCCATAGGGACAAGGGGATCTGCTTATCTCATAACTAGATTTTGCTAAATAGACTTTCTGATAATTTTTTTTTCAAGTTCACACAAAGGTGTTAGAGGTAGCAGAGACTGAACCATAGAGTGTTCAAAAAGTGAAAAGTCCTCCTGGCTAGGCAATCTAGACATAGATCCATCCAACATAGCCTGGCATAAGGCGTCATGAACTCTAGAGATACTCACCTTTACCAGAAGGAAATTAGCAGTCTGCAGATCTGGGAAAGTTAGGGAAAGAGTTTCCAGCCAAACAATGCAGGTTTTGATAATTTCTGATTATTTAATGTGTTTACTGCTCTGTAAAGCAAGCAAAAAAGAAACAAAAGGCAAACAGCAACCACATTGTACCTAATGCTGGCATGTTTGGAGATGTTCATAAAGCTAGAACACACTTTATTTCCTTATTAAAGGTTTAAACACTAGCATGATGTTAAAGGTTATGTTTTTCTTGATATGCTTATAA